ACATACTTAAACCTAAACAATTTTGAGGGACTGAATGTAAAATTTTGACAGAACATTAAAGGTGTTTTTGAGCCAAGAAAGTCAAAGAAATAAGTATGAGATGCATGAAGATAACCCAGAAAGCCATCTTAATAACAATATTAAGACTCAGAAAGGTTAACTAAGATCCCTCAAATCACACAGTTTATAGCAGAAGTGGAATGCACATTCCGGGTCTGTCTAGAATCAAAGTTTGTGCTCTTTCTTATCTATCACAAAACCACTAGGTATAAAAGTACTATGTCTATTTCTCAGGAGAACATTAGATTGTATTTTGTATTGAGTAGATGACTGAGGTAAATGTATTTTAAGGCCACAATTAATTAAAAAGTCTATGTTTTGTTATTTTCTGCTAAAACATTAATGAAGTTTAGACCTAATATACTGAGTAGAGTAAATCAAATTTTACCTAAGCTAAAGTTTATCAAGTGTCAAAAAAAGAAATTTTCTTATTTTAATTGTTTTTTTCTTCATATCACAGTAATAGCAGAAAATACTTGTCTTGACAATTAAAAATATTTCAATCTCAGTTATTTAACAAACATTTTCTGAGTGCCTATTAATTGCTAAGAATGTTTGAATGTATAGTACTGTGGGTACCACAAAATTTCTCCCTTTATGGACTCACATTTTACTAAGTGGGTGTTTCTCCGGTTTTCCCTTCAGATTGATTCTCCTTATGCCTTCTCTCCCCAAAGACGGCATCTGGATCCAAAAGGAAGCTTCACAACATTTGCAGAACAGTGTCTTGTCTACCTTGGCCTCTGCCGAGGTGTTTAGGTGTTTATTACCAGTTGCTTCCTGGATATTGACTTCTATTCCCCCCATGAAGTGCTGCAGTGTAACACGGCTCCCACAGTCACTGTAGTCCCTGCTTGTGTCTCCACACCTCCTCTTATTATCTGTCGGAGGTGCTAGCACTCTCTGCTGAATTATGTGATTTCTCCCATCAAGCTTTAAGTTGTATTATCTCTTAACTCTGAGCCCCCTTGTCCTGAAATCAAAACCCTTCCAGTTCCTCAGTCCTCTCAGCACTTGTCTATCTTTGGGATGATGAATTTCAGCTGCTTTTTCTGATCTTCATTACAGCATGAGATACCCCTGTGAGACGGCTATCAGGCCCAAATACCTGGGTACCTCCCTTGCTGTTGCCGCTCTGCTTCACCCATACCAAGTCAGATGGTGCCTCTTTATCCTCCTCCAAAAGCCAGGCTTTTTGAATAAGCCAGGGCACTGAAGTCTAAACTCTGGAACCTCTTTCTCAATCTCTTCCTAGACACCTCCCTTCAGACCTAAGAAAGGTTTCTCCTCTTTCCTACATGGTCCAATGGAAGTTCCAAGAAAAATAATTTTCACTCTGAACGAAGTTTGATTGCTGCAAATAAAAAATTCTTGATTTTGGTCTATTGTATGCCTAGAAAAGATTAAAAAAAAAATTTTATAATAGATGCTGTGTAGTGACTTCCTTGATTAAGGTGCTGCTGTCCTTTTTTTAAAATATATCTCTATCTCATGACCGATGCTAAATAGAGGAAGGGCTCAGGGTCTGGAGATAAAGACATAGATGTTTGAGAAGTGACACTTCAAAATAATAGATTTTACTATATATGAACAATATTGGAAAGGAAAATTTATATGAACAAAGAAAATGTTAAAACATACAAACACAGATGTGAGTTTATCCCTGGACCCAGACCTAAGCATTCTAAAAATAATGAAGCTGCACTTTAATAGGAGAAGTGATATTGTAGAATCAGCAACAAAAATTATAGAATCAAAATTACCCTTAAAATCCTTTAAATGTGTATTAAATAAAATGTAGGTGATTTTGCATATACTACCCTGAATGGAAATATTTGTGAGTAAATACATCACGTTTGTATAATAAACTGTGCTTGGAAAATATAATCTTATAGTGTTTTGTTTTTAATTACATAAAAGAAAATGTGCACAGCTAATTTTTGTAAGGCAACTGTATGTTGGGACTGCATTCTATGTTTGTATAAAAGCCATGACTTTTGCTGCTTTCTCACACACCTCCCTTTCTTTGAGTTTTTTCTGTTTCACTTTTTTTTTTTGCGTGATTCAATTCATGGACATTTACTTACCCTTAAATGTTATGATACTTACAACTTTTCTTATTTTCCTGTCAGAGTGTTACAGAAAACAAAATTCAACCTGTTCTCATCTGTTTACGCTGTAGCCAAAAGACTAGAATTATACACAGCTTCTTTAGTGTCTGTGAATAATTGCCTGTGACTTCTCCATAACCTTCTATTATTTCAGCGTCTCATTTAAGGAGCTAGTTAAGTAATTTCCATAGGATATTTCTTACCTTTTCCTTTAAGTTGTGTAAAAAGAAAAAAAGGTAAACCTTTCACATGGACTCAGAAACCTACCAAAAATTATTGTTCAAGGCACCAGATTTCTTAAGTATATATAATCCTTATAATGTAATAGTCCCTCCTCCACTCCTGTCCAGAACCAACACTTAATTTGTGCTTTCACGCTCTCAAGCTTTGTCGTGGTGAGCAGGGTACTTGTTGAAGGTACAGAATTGAAAACACTCAGAACAAGAGGGTATAATCATTCTGCCTAAGAATCATCCTACAAAAACACCTATCGAAGAAAAGCTCTCGAAGGACGGGAGGGGTAGGGAAGGATAGAATGGAAGATGAAGAGACAAATGCTTTTAGGTAAACAGCGGTTTTGAGAGTTTAGAGCAAAGTATGAGAAGCAACTACTATAAATGAAACTTTGGAACAGGAGAAGTTTAAACAGAAATTTTAGAAAGACCACCATGGATTTTATGACGGAACATCACTGACGGCTGCTGTTACATTGTTTTTTATTATTTGTCAATGCTTTTGAACTTCTGTCAAGTTCATGAGGACATGAGGTTATGCTTACAGTGGCTTTATATACTCTGATCACAGAAGAGGAAGGAAAAGCAGAAGGCAAAAGGAAGGAGGAAGCATTGGGTGTGGAATGGGAAGAGGCAGGAAGGTAGCAACAGCACCTAAAACCAAGCTCATGAAACGTTTTAAAGTTTCCAAGCACTGCGCTTTATATTATATCACTTAACCAGGCAAAAATAATTAAAGATAACGACAAGTAGACAAAATTGTCCAGTTGTTATTAGAAAATTTCATAGCTTTCCTTAAGCAATTTCCCAATTATTCTGTTTTTCTAAATATTCCCAGACTCCTCCTCCCATAAAGTGTTCAAGAAAAATTTAGATACAGTTTTTAGGGTAGTTCATTAGTGTGTTTGAAACTTTTAGTGTCTAACATCTGCTCTATAACTTTCTGGAAAAGACTTTAAGATTATGTGTATGTGAGTGTGTGTGTATTATATCACTCCACATTAGCATGAAAACACTTTTTTTTTAATAATTTTATTTATTTATTTATTTTTCCCCCAAAGCCCCAGTAGATAGTTGTATGTCATAGCTGCACATCCTTCTAGTTGCTGTATGTGGGACGCGGCCTCAGCATGGCCGGATAAGTGGTGCGTCGGTGCGCACCCGGGATCCGCACTGGGCCGCCAGTAGCAGAGCACGCGCACTTAACTGCTAAGCCACGGGGCCGGCCCCGAAAACACTTTTAATACTTGCCAAGCACACACTTTTCCTTCCCTCTCATTCTTTTCTTCTCTTTCTATCTGTGTCTCTCTCTCCCCTCTTTCCTCTGCCCTTTAAGTTCAAGTCTTTTAAAACTGTCAGAGAAGCAATTAAAAGAAAATTTTTCTTATTTTTATCACAGTCGTGCTTCATTTTTGATTAAACAGTAAAATCTTATTTGATCACCAAAATCAATAAAATATATTCACCATTTTCAAAGATAGAAAATTCATCCTAAATATTGAGATGAATCAAATTAAAGTTTCTAAAAATATGTAATTTCCAAAAAGAAAACAAACGTCCTGAAATAAAGGAGAATGATATCAGAACTATGCATATATTTTCTCAAAGTGACTACTTTAGAAGGAAATCAATTATTTAGATGTATAGTTTCTAAGTTATTTTTACATACATTGCACTAATCACTTGTGTTTAAATTGGACACATTTTGCATATTCTTCCCATACTTTAAATTGTTTTTTTTTTTTTTCATGATGTTTTAAGTAGTTGTTCATGATTTGAGACAGACTTTCTCATTAGAAAGTTATGGCATCACACTCTTTAATCTGTCTTGCAATTAAATTGGCTATGATAGTTATTGGGATTCAATTAACTTATACGAAAAGTATACTTTCAAGGAGTTAAAACATAAAGAGCTTTATTATAACTAGATTTTTATTTTGAAGAAAAAGGAGAAATATTAAATATTCTCGTTTCAGTAACTTTTAAAAATAATTTATTTTTCACAAATTAAAAAATTACATTGACTCGGTTCTTCATTCTCACTTAAAAATTGAAAATCACAGGCATTTGACTACAATAATGATTTAAAAAATTAACAAGCTGATTTCTGCCAGAATCCAGAAAATGCTTTTTCCAATCAGTTCTGGTGACAATGTAGAATATTTATCTCTTTTAGGTACACTTTGGGTGATGTGGACTCTGAAAATCCCAGTTACACCCAGAATTCCATTCCCCTATAGTTACTCATCTGGACCACAGACGTGTAGGACTTGTCTGAAGGAGACGTAGGCTTCAAGTGGGGCTCCGCCAGTGAATCATCCCTTTAATGAGCGAAACCTCTTAGGGAAGAGCAGGGAGGATGTATTGGTCGTCAGGAAAATGTAGACTGCTGGTGGAAAATGACATTCTCTATTAATAAGATCTAAGGTGTGACTCACATAATTGTCCTAACTTTTAAGATTGATGGGGAGCATGAAACATTTCTTTAAGTTGGTGACAGGTCCTAATAAATGCCTAAAGTGTGCAGGTCTGCACATGGTTTTAGAATGTGATTTTATAAAGAAGGTGGAGATCCCAACTCCTTCGATCATGTCTATATATATGTCTGAGTATGTGTTTTAGTGATCTGGGAAGTGTCTTGACAGAGAACCTGATCTGGACAAAGCAGCCTTGACCGGAGTGAGCTCACTGGCACCATGAAAATATCAGGTGTCTTTCTGCTCCTCTCTCTGGCTCTTTTCTGCTTTTTCTCAGGTGAGTTTTATTTTTTTCTTAAAATTTATGCTGAACTGGAAATGACAAGTGTATGTGTCCAACATATTTCAAAATTCTAACAATTTTGATATGAAAGACCAATTCTAAGATCATCAAAATGATTGTGAAAGACCAATTCTAAGATCATCATCATCATAAATGGTTGTGATAATGAAAATGGTGATAATGACAACTTTTTCTTTGAGCATATAATATATTTTAGGCATGTACTGAGGGCTTTTATGCATTATCTCCAATGCACATAGCAAGGTCTTCATATCCATATTCTACATATAAGAAAACTGTGGCATAAAGAAGTTAAGAAAATTGCCAAAGGACTTGCCGCTAGTAATTAGAATTTGGAATTTGAATCCAGGTCTTCTAGACATCATGGTTGATGTTTGTTCCACAGACTAGTCTAGAGGATGGGTAATTGTGTTAAATATTAGTTTGGCTTTCCAAGACAAAGGAAAAATTTTCTGTCCTCATTATTCTTATAATTGGAACTCAAATAATTAAAATTGAAACAAGGGGAAAAGGCAACTCAATTAGAGAATCCTTCATAAAAAAGTTATCAAACCTTAGAATGCAGAATCATATATATATGCTGCTGGTGAATTAAACACTTCTTCAAGCAGAGGAATATCTTTGGCCGCCTTAATGAGCAGTAGTCATATATTCTATCAATTCTGATTGTTCAAAGGACAATTATACTTCAATCTAATGTTTTTCATCACAGGACCACGTGAATGAACAAGGCCACTGTGTCTATTTCTTCTTTATTATTCTACTTTAAGCTGTGGTAGTGGACAAAGCACATGCTAGAGTCCCTAGACCCAAGACCTAGCCCATCTCTTCCACCAATGGCCTGTATCAACTGGACAAACAGCTCAACTCTCTGAGATATTCTCTCATTTGTAGAATGCTAGAAAGGAGACTGAGTCCTGGGGCCTTCCATGTCTGATGTATCATTTTCTGTGACAAAAGTAGTTGAATTTTGATGCTATCAGAGATTTTAAATGCCTGAACATGTAAAAACAATAATTTTTCAATGAGATTGAGCAGATGGAGAAGCCATTGTTCACCAGAAATTGGTCATATTTACACAAAAAATATATTTAGAAATATGAAAAAAATTGAATAATGGACTCCTGTGATATTATGTCTTAAGTTTACTACTAAAGCCAAATAACTTGAATGAGTGGTTCTGTCAATTGCTGAGATGGCATAAAAAAATAGATATGACTATATCAAAATTTACTTGAAAAGATAGCCTCAGAAATTAATTGATATCCTCTTATTTACTTTACAAAGGTAAACTAATATTTTCATTGGTTCTGGTTGACTAATATACTTAATTTACCAAAACATGGTCCTTTATAGATGTAGTGCCTAAGAACCTTAATTTTGAGACCAAGAGAAATAAATTTCAGTCCTGCCTATTTCTATTTTATAGCTGTCTGACCTTTCTGAGTCTCATTTTCCTCATCTGTAAAATGGAGATATAAAAAGACTAGCCCTCTATGAGGAATTAAATGAGAAAATGCATGTAAAGTGCTTAACATAGTGGAGGGGACATAGTAAGTGTTCAATAAATATCTATTAATATTGCCATTATTAAAGTTTAATAATAAGAGTACTAGATTGGACTTGGCATTGTAGATATTAATCCTGCTTCTGTTTGACATTTCCTACATATGAGATATTGAGCAAAATCTCTATTCTTCTAATCAAAGATTTGTGCAGTGAAGAAATGGCTAAAAATTTAACAATGAGTTTTCCCTGGTCGTAAAAATCACTTGGAGTGGTTACAAAAATATAGACTTCCAGGCCCTATTTGGTCTTATATAATGGAATTTTCAAGTGATTGTCCTAAGAATCTGTATTTTTAATAAGCAGCCACACTGCTGCAATAAGGTTGGCAATCACTACAGTAGATGATCATCAACTTCCTTTCAAATGTAAAAGCCCTGTTCTCTCCTTATCCTCATTAATAGAGAATGTCTTTTAAAGTATTTCCAGTTTCCTCCCACAAGTGTTGACCAGCACTGGAGAAGGATTGCACTTATTCATACACTTTCTGCCATCGAGGTGGCCTTGGGGTTACGTGTGAGAGATGTTGCTGGCATTAAGAGTTCCACAGAAGTGACCCGAGACCAAACCTGAGCAGCTGATACCACGCTTCAACCTAAGACTTTTATTATTGCAGTATTTTAAACCACTGAGCTAATTAGCCACAACCTAAAATCACACACATAATCATAATGATGGAGGGAACAGAGAGAAGCAAGACTCTGGACTTTTTTTCTCTTTCAGAAATTGAGAGAGATGTAGCAGGAGAAATGAGTCGCAGAAAAGAGAATGAGTTTGTCCTTGCCTGTCTATACTTGGGCCCTGTATTTAAAGCTGAGTATAGAGGGCAGAAGAGAAAATTGGGGCTCAAAGAACAAACAACAAAGTTAATCTTTTCCCCAACTGCCTGTAACAAAGGCTTTGGGGACGGACTGAAGGCACTGGACCTGGGAATGTGAAAGTGAGAGGAGACTTTCCAACCCAACTTCTCCAACGTAAGACCAGAGATGATAAGGTCATTCCCACAGTAAATGAGTGACTGGACCAGGACTGTAATATGAGTCTCCAGGTCCTTTAACTATTTTCTCTCACCCCACCCAACATCTAGGAAGTATTACCCCATCGGGGTCCATCTCCTGACATCACTTTTCAAGTTTCTACTGCTCCCTAAGAAGTGAGTGGGTATAAAAAATAACACAACCATGCCATGACTTGTTGAGATGGCCAAGAAGCAAGAACAAGTATATCATTCCAGGCTTGGAGATTTCCTATTTTTGCACATCATTTTGCACATCCAGATATTACAGTGTTCAGATTTTGTGCTTTTTTTTTTTTTTCAGGTGTCTTCAGTCAAGGAGGACAGGTCAGTGTATATTTTTATCGATCCTTCAGACCTGGGTGGCGCTTGGCTGGTATTCCTTAGCCAAAGAGAGGTTTGTCAACTGGTAAAAGAGCAAAAACTATGAAAAAGCAGACCAATCTGATATCAGCAGAAGTATTTTTTTTTAACTATCTGTCTATGAGTATACTGTTTTCAGTTTAACAGAGCCTAAATGCCCATTCTCAGATTTTGTTGAAGTAGAATGAATATAATAAAAATAGGATGAATCTGTGATAACATTCATGCTCTATTATTAATTTCACTGTGTGATCTTGGGCCAGTTACTCAGCTTTTCTGAGCTGCAATCTTCACAACTATATTAAAGGTATAATATTATTCACCTCATAGGAATTATATTTAAATAACATAAACCATGTGCAAGATTTGGTAAACTATAAAAGGATTGTTTACTGATTAAAAATTAACAGCTTCTAAAGGAGTTAGGACAGAGGTTATTATTTCCTTTTTAGGAGTAAGGCAACTAAGAGTAGACAGAAAACTTGTTTAATGCTTTGTACTAAGTATACACAAACTGATTCAGTCAAACTTAAATACAATTTGGATTAAAAATTGGAATGAGTACAAATTATCTTCATTGTTTGGCTGGGTTTTTCCAAATTAATCCACCAACTTTTTTTCAGTTTTCTTGTTCTAACTGTCAAAAGACAACACAGACAAACTTGCTCTGTCAGTCCTGCTCCTGTGTCCATACCGAACATTCCTAGCTGACCTTGGCACTGGTTCTTGTTTAGTCTTGTGCCCAAGAACCCTTGGCATCAAAAGTTTCCAGACACTACTGCCAACTGATTGGAGTTGGCAAAGGAGTTGAAAAATATTTTTCAATCCTAATGTACTTATTACATTGGATAAGACTTTTTTTTCAAATTTTAGTGTCTCAGAAATTGGTATGCACCTTACAATGGATGATGCCTTACAATAACTGCCAGTGTGTGTGTGTGTGTGTGTGTGTGTGCGCGCACTTGCGTGTATTAGTGTATGTACACACGAGTGTTTGTATTGGTATATACTCTTGCACACCTTAAAATTATTTCTTCTTATGGTTAAATACATATGATATCACAGTCTATGTTAAATATCAAAACAAACAAACAAGGAAAGGACATAAGATCCAGCCAACATATTTCATGTCCCACTAAAATATGAGAGACCATTACACATAGATTTAAAAGATATGGACTTTAATTCCAGTGTTCTCTAACACGTAAGTTGCTTCCCTTCTCTGGGCTTTGATTTCCACGATTTTTAATGTTTCCCAGATTTTTAGTGTTTTCTAAAGTTCCTTTAAAATCACCTATGGGCGATTCCTTAGAGATATTGCAGGTTTGATTTCAGACCACTGCAATAAGGTGAATATTGCAATAAAGCAAGTCACATGAATTTTTTAGTTTCCCAGTGCATATATGTTTACACTACACTGCAGTCTACTAAGTGTGCAATGGCATTATGTCTAGAAAAACAATATACATATCTTAATAAAAAAATCCTTTATTGCTAAAAATGCTAACCACCATCTGAGCCATCAGTGAGTCATAATCTTTTTGCTGGTGGACGGTCTCGTCTCAGTGTTGATGGCTGCTGACTGATCAGGGTGGTGGTTGCTGAAGGCTGGGTTGGCTGTGGCAATTTCTCAAAATAAGAAAGCAATGAACTTTGTCACATCGATTGACTCTTCCTTTCATGGACAATTTCTCTATAACATGTGATGCTATTTCATAGTGTTTTACGTACAGTGGAACCTCTTTTGAAATTGAGGTCAACCCTCTCAAACCCTGCCCCTGCTTCATCAACTAAGTTTCTGTCATATTCTAAATCCTTTGTTGTCATTTCAACAATCTTCACAGCATCTTCACCAGGAGTAGGTTCCATCTCAAGAAACCACTTTCTTTGCTTGTCCAGGAGAAGCAAATCCACATTTGTTAAAGTTTTAGCATGAGATTGCAGCAATTCAGCCACATCTTCAGGCTTCACTTCTAAGTCTAGTTCTCTTGCTGTTTCTACCACAACTGCAGTTACTTCCTCCACTGAAGTCTTGAGTCCCTCAAAGTCATCCATAAGGGTTGGAATCAACTTCTTCCAAACTCCTGTTAATGTTGACATTTTGACCTCTTTCCATGAATCACAAACATTCTTAATGGCATCTAGAATGGTGAATTCTTTCCAGAAGGTTTTCAATTGACTTTGCCCAGATCTATCAGAAGAATCACTATCTGAGGCAGGATAGCCTTATAAAATGTATTTCTTAAATAATAAGACTTAAAAGTTGAAATTACTCCTTGATTCCTGGGCTGAAGAATGGATGTTGTCTTAGCAGGCTTGACAACAACATTAATCTCGTACATTTGCAGCAGAGCTCTTGGGTGACTAGGTACACTGTCAGTGAGCAGTAATATTTTGAAAGGAATCTTTTTTTCTGAGCAGTAGTTCTCAACAGTGGGCTCAAAATATTCAGTGAATCATGTTGTAAACAGATGTGATGTCATCCAGGCTTTGTTCCATTTTTAGAGCACAAGCAGAGTAGATTTAGCATAATCCTTATGGGCTCTGGTATTTCCAGAATGGTAAATGAGCATTGGCTTCAACTTAAAGTCACCAGCTGCATTAGCCCCTAATAAGAAAGTCAGCCTGTCCTTCGAAGCTTTGAAGTCAGGTATTGGCTTTTCCTCTCTAGCTATGAAAGTCCTAGATGCCATCTTCTTCCAATAGAAGGCTGTTTCATCTACATTGAAAATCTGTTGTTCAGGGCTGGCCTGGTGGCATAGTGGTTAAGTTCACGCATTCCACTTTGGTGGCCCGGGGTTCGCGGGTTTGGATCCTGGGCACAGACCTACACACCACTCATCAAGCCACGCTGTGGTGGCATCCCGCATAAAAAATAGAGGAAGATTGGCACATATGTTAGCTCAGGGACAATCTTCCTCAAGCAAAAAGAGGAAGATTCACAACAGATGTTAGCTCAGGGCCAATCATCTTCACAAAAAAAAAAAAATCTGTTGTTCAGTGTGTCCACCTTCATTAATTAGCTTAGCTAGATCTTCTAGACAACTTGCTGCAGCTTCTGTATCAGCACTTGCTGTTTCACCTTGCACTTTTACTTTATGGAGACGGCTTCTTTCCTTAAACTTCATGAACCAATTTCTGCTAGCGTCAAACTTTTCTTCTGTAGCTTCCTTACCTCTCTCACCCTTCATAGAATTGAAGAGAATTAGGGCCTTTCTCTGACTAGACTTAGGCTTAAGGAAATGTTGTGGCTAGTTTGGTCTTCTATTCAGACCACTTAAACTTTCTCCATGTCAGCAATAAGGTTGTTTCACTTTCTTATCATTTGTGTGTCTGGTGGAGCAGCACTTTTAATTTTCTTTATGAACTTTTCCTTTGCATTCATGACTTGGCTAACTGTTTGGCACAAGAGGCCTAGCTTTCGGCCTATCTCAGCTTTCGACACGCCTTCCTCACTAAGCTTAATCACTTCTAGCTTTTGATTTAAAGTGAGAGATGTGCAACTGTTCATTTCACGTGAACACTTTGAGGCCGTCTTAGGGTTATTAATTGGCCTAATTTCAATATTGTTGTGTCTCAGGGAATAGGGAGGCACAAGGAGAGGGAGGGAGACAGGGGATAGGCCCGTCAGTGGAGCAGTCAGAGCACACAGCATTTATCAATTAAGTTCGCTGTCTTACATGGGCGTGGCTCGTGGCGCCCCAAAACAATTACGGTGGTAACACCAAAGATCACTGATCACAGATCATCATAACAAATATAATAATACTAAAAAAGTTTGAAATATTGTGAGAATTACCAAAATGTGATGCAGGGACACAAAGTGAGCAAATGCTGTTGGAACAATGGAGCTGATAGACTTGTTTGACACAGGGTTGCCACACACCTTCAATTAGTAAATACGCAATAAGGTGAAGTGCAGTAAAATGAGGTATGCCTGTATTGACTGATTCTATTCCTTTAGAATGGCCTAAGTCTCACAGTCTGTTTGCTTTAGGATCACTTGGGATGCTTACTAAATATGTAGATCCCCAGGCACCACGCCAGACTTGCTGAATAACAATGGCACAAGTGGGAGTTTTTGAATCTGCATTCTAAATAATTATCCAGTGCTGGGAAACACTGACTTTGGAGCCCAAATACATTGGAGAAAATATAGAAGAGTCCTAATTCAAATACCTACCGGCTGTGTGATTTGAGGGATATCTCTTCCCTTCTCGTGACCTTTGTTTGAAGGTCTGGATTCAATGATCTTTAAAGCCCCTTCTGGCCTTAGATATCTGAATCAGTATGAACCACGCCTGCCTTGTCAAAACTGCTGTCTCTTTTCTACTCAGATATAAAGTGCAGGGAGGGTGCCACCTTTTGGATAGCATCAGGGCTGCCATTTGTCTTTTGCATGGCTGTCCCAATGCCAGGCAGAAGTTGAAACTAACTTTAGGAGCATGTCTGCTCAAGTCTAATCCAGCTATCACAGAAGGAAGAAAGATTTCCTCCAAAACTCAAGTCATTCTTCTCATGCCAAGAGGTCTCTCCACGATGAAGAATCTGACGGGACAGTACAGTTAGCAGTCTAAATTCTAGATTTGTAAAAGTTTCACATTCTTTCAAAAAGATTATTCAAGCTAAACAAAGGGCATGTTCTTGGACTTTTGGGATTTATAGTCCTTAAAAATTTTCCCTATAAATGGAAAGAACTAATATGTTGCCAACTCGTTGATTTGCCAAGTAGAAACATATACTTAAAATAATAATAATATAACAATTACTATTTTTAATAATAGTTAAAAAATAAAACTGCTATTTACCATTAACAGCCTTCATTACAGAAATTGTAGTATAACGCCAAAATGCTTGAAAGACATCATCTCAGAAGAAGGATGGTCTACAAATTAACTACAGATCTACAACTTGACTGCAGATAGGAAATCTGATTCCTCAGAAAGAGGACCTAGCTGACTCAGGTTTACCAACAACACTAAAGCTGTGCAGACAACATCTCAGGACCCCTGGCTCCATATCGCATGAGCTTCATTGGCTCCACGCTGCCTTTAACCAGCAACAGAAAGCCACTGTGCAGTGCATGTGAAAGTGTTTTGAGCAGTATAACTTTCTAAACAAATATATGAGAGTGTTTATCATCCTGACTTCTTAAGCAAAGAAGTATTATAATGAAAACAGTAGTTTAAAATGTGACCACACGTAGGAGGGATTTTGAAACTTGGGGGAAACGGAAGCAGAGAGAGTAGAATTTATTTCATTGGCTAAGAAAAGAAATGCTGATGCTAGCTATAGGTAGTAAATTTGGAACTGATGAAGAGGACTTGAGATAAAGAAATACACAAAAGGAAACTCGCAAGGGGAAGGAAATGGCCAGTTTTAATCTGAGGGTAGGTTGAGGAATCTGAAGAATGGTACTATTATAAAAAAATGGAAAAATTAGAATGTAGAACTAGTTTTGAGGGAAAGATGAAGAGTTATATTTTGGACATAAATGAGTATTAAGTATGAATCAAACTGCTGACGAAGGTGCCTGTATATTTCTGACAATTAGGAGTCAGAGTTTGAGATTTTGATGAGGACTCAAGGGAAAAAAATGTCTAGAACTCATCAGTATCTTCTGTGAAAGTATATGTTCTTAAGGAGAGAAAATCAAGTACATAAAATTTTCTTGACAATGACCATAATGAATACTCAGGAGGAAAATAGAGAAGACAATAAAAGGAACACAGAAGAAATAGTTGGAGAGCCAGAGTATTGACATATTACAGAAGTCAAAAAAGAGTTTCAAGAGGTGGAAGTGATCGAGAGTAGCACATACTATAGAGAAATCATGAATGTTTTATAAATAGCCAATGGGTGTATCCTGAAAGGTGTCATTTTTTAGAGTAGTTTCGGTAGTGTGGAAGGGGTGTGAAACCAGGGGAAGTAGAAGCCAAGTCAGAGAGGGGCTAAGAGAACTGGTATGCTAAAGAAAGGGGCTGATTTAACCGCATAGGTCCTATTTTTCAGTAAAAGGAATAAAAGATGAAGTCCTACGCTCTAGGTGTGTATGTGAGTGTGTGACTACAAATTTTCCTTGGCTTTGTTTGTAGCACTAAAATACTAGACTACAATATCAATGATCCTGACTCTCTAGTTGATTTAGTGACCATATACACTCATTTTCCAACCAAGTTAAATAATTTTGTAGTCACCATTAGCAAAAATGACTCATCTGGGTACTGAAAGTGTCAGTCTATTCCAGAATATTTTCAAAGGTACAGTTCTTTGAAGAACCACAGGGAGTCAGGCTGACACTAAACATTGGCACTCAAGTGCCTAGAAGTAGTCTCTGGAAGTTGAACTATCTAAGGAAATAAACGCAGGTGCTTATTAAATCCAACACCAATCTAAAAAACATCAAGAAAATTCACTAAAATAGGGTAAGAAATAGTGGGCTCCAAAAATTCTAGAATGTGATACAATTCACATTGTTAGTGTTTATAATAGCAGTCTTCCACATGATACTCGAAAGTTTGCAGTGTTTTCAAAAGATTTATCAATACAATAACCCTAGAAGATAGGCATTGGCAGCCCCATGTTAAAGATGAAAAAATTTAAACTCAGAGCAGTGAAATGTTTGCACAAGTAAGTGGGAGAAGCAAAATTCAAACCCATTAGAACATTTTGAATAGATTTGGGGTAAGTGGGTGGAGGGGAGATTTCAGCTTTCCTGGGTCTCCTTAATGCCTTATGAAGGAAACTTCAAAGAGAAAAGATAATCCTACTGTCACTGTTGTTCTAGAACTGCTTTGACTTCCTCTGAGAAGCCAATTGTTTGGATTTTATTTAAAGGAGTCTAATACAAAAATACAAAAGAGGAGAGGAAATTTAGGCAGAGGAAAGGCATGGCATTTGGAAATCAGCCTATTTCTCCTCAAGTTGTGCGAACTGTGGTCTCTTGCTAGTCCCAACTCTGATATTCCTCTGCCTCGCTCTTTGCTTCACAGAGGGGATTTCTGGCTGGCTCTGCAAAGGCATTCTTTACCATTCCCAACCTCTGGGGCTCTCAGAGAGTGGCCCTTTTCTGTCCCCAGTCACCATGCTAAAATTTCTCACACAGTGAGCGAAGAGGGGCTTCTAGATATAAAGGAGGAAACATTTGGACAACAGTTGTTATTTCTCCCATCCAGTTGAAGAACTAAGGACTTAGCTTTATTTAAGCCACTTCACTGAAAGAAGTCACTGCTAAATCTTAGATCATCACACCTAGGAGAGTCCTTAGAGACCATCTAGGCTGATGGTATTTAACATTTTGTATGAGTCAGAGACACCTTTCAGAATGTGATGAGAGCTACAGTGAGGGCAGACCTACTGTAAAAAGCTTATTTTCTGCACTCCTAGTCCAGGACTATTTCAAATATTCCACACTGACTTTCTACAAGTCTTCTATGACCACATTTGATCCTTATAACAACTCTGGGAATGAAGTATGGCAACTGTTATTGTTTGAAAAATTTTGGTTAAGAAAATTGAGGTGCAGATATTGAGTGCTTTGTCCAAGATGACACAACTAGCCAATGGCGAATGGCAGAACAAGTTCCGAAACGTGATTGTTCAGCTTACTTCACAGATCATTGAATGATGCTGCAATGTAAAAGTACGAAGTGTATCTATGTTTGAAGGAAATTTGCTCACATGCCGTTTGATTGATTTGGTTTTATTTATTGAAATTCTTGGTCTTCCTAGTCTCATTCCCAGGGGGTAGGGGCAGGGCAAAAGTGGGCTTGGGGAGGGAGGTGGGGCCTAGAAACTCTTGAAGTGAACGCCTTCCCCAAGTGCTTCTTCCATATCTGTTTTCCAAAGGACAAAAGAGGCTGGATCACAAGCTCGGAGGGCCGGATGCTCAGGAAAGGTGGCTTACGGAGGCGTCTCGCTCACGTAAGATACTTTCTTTTTTCTTCTGCTCACTGCTCTGACTGTAGAGACACACACCTTCTCTGACTGAGATGCTCTTTCCCCGGCTTCCACATTGCCTGTGCTTGTCCCACTGTGGTATTTATCACACACGATGCTGTAATTATCTATGTTCTTCTCTGCTTTGCTAATGCAAATAAGATGGCGAACTCAATGAGATAGTGTTTCTAACTGATTCCTCTTTGTATCACCAGCACCCAGCACCATGTCTTCCAAATATTACTTACTCATTGGCTACTTGTAAAATAAATAAAAATATCAGTCATGATTCTGTGGTTTACAATTCTTTCTTGACTCAAACACACAAGTGCAAAGGTATGCGTTAATGATGTAAATACAAAATACATTAGCTTTTGAGAAAAAAATATCCTACGGTTTGTAACGCCCTAAATATTTTCCAGCCTTTTTTCTATTTGGAGACCTAAAGGAAATATTACTAAGCTGGAAGTAGTACGAGAAGGTGGAGTTATCTTTAGAGCAGTGGAGAAAAGTGGGACTGTAGCTGGGACTACAAGATGCCTAGGTATCTTCTACACAACCACGCCCTAAGAAGACCTCCGCTAAGCACCATACTACCCAACCTCAAAAGTACAAGATGCTAAATTTCAACAAAAAATAGTCTTAGATGCCTTAAATCTGACATATATGATAATATTTTTTAACTCAATTTTATGTCTCTTTTGCTGAGCATTTTCTCATGCAAACCTTTGGAGAGCTTTATCAGTGCACAGTGGTTTGCTAACATCTTAAGCAAATGATTCCTCTTACCTATGCTCATACATGTCCCTAATAAGCTGTTTTAATGACATTTACATGCCGTGACTATAAGTGTAGTCAAGGGTACATAGTGACAGTTGGTTTTTATTTCTCTCAATGAGGATGCGTTAGAAATCAACGATAGTAGATTGTTAAAAATTCTGGACCAGCAATGAGAAAGAATATGTTCAAGCACTGGTCTCAATGCTTCCTGCTTGTGTGGCATTGGTAAGCCAATTAATTTTCCTGAGGATCAGAATTTACCTCTGTGAATTGGTTAATATATTACTCAATATACACCTCAGGATTATTGCAAGACTGACTGAGTTGATCCATATGAGAGTAGTTTGAATACTATGAAGCAATTGATAAACGTAGGACAATATTATTTTAATGGAACTAGGATAGGGTAAAGCAGCCTCTATTCATGTTTAAATGTCCCTTCATTCCACACAGCTGAAATTTGGAGGAGCTCAGTTCTACCTGTTGCATATTGCCTGGACCCTGGAATGAAATGGCTAAAATGTCATTTGCTCACTAAATATTGACTCAATTGACATTGAATTGAAAAGAATCTTAAAACTCCAGACTACTTCTGATAGACCACTATAACTGAGGGGATATATTAGTGGCATAGGTGCTACCATTCCTTTTATAGAGCCCATGAAGAGAATTAATCAGTCATAACTATGTTCTCACCAAGGAGAGATGCAACCTTAGAATCCTAAATACAGCAGCTTAGGCAGCCATTACTAAGTTATTGTAGCAGGCACAAAAGTTCAAATTCTACAGACTTGGAGATACATTAATTAACATAAAGACATTACAATTTTGTTTTCAAGAGATGATAAATGGATGTAGCAGCCACGGGGAAAACTAACAAGCCATCAGATAACTTCTGGGAGCTCCTTGCAATGATCCTCCAGATCTTCATAGTAATGCAGAAGGAATGCTATTAGAGTTACATTAGTACAGTAAAAAAAAGAAAAAATTTCACTTAAAAACCAAAAACTACTCTCAATTGGAACAATTTAATGTTGTAGCAAAAAGTTCTACCTATAGCATTTGCCTTACATTTGTAAGGAATAAGCATCTGCCTTACATCATTATCTTACTCCTGAATATAATAACTGCAGAAATGGGTTTCCTGTGTCTCAAAGAGAAAATCTCAATTATGTTTAACGTGTTCTAGTTAGGCAGTTAAGGAGAGCTATTTTCTATTCCAGAAAGCTTTACTTCACAACTATATATATACAGAGGTCGCCAACTTATGATGGTTCAACTTATGATTTTTCGACTTTATAGTGGTGTGAAAGTGATACCAATTCAGTAGAAACCATACTTTGAATTTTGATCTTTTCTCAGGCTAGTGGTATGTGGCACGATATTGTGTCATGATACTGGGCTATGATCAAGAGTGTAAACAACCGATACACTGACGACCATTCTGTACCCATACAACCATTCTGTTTTTCACTTTCAGTACAGTAATCAATAAGTTACCTGAGATAGTCAACACTTTATTATAAAATAGGCTTTGTTTTAGATGGTTTTGCCTAACTGTAGGCTAGTGAAAGTGTTCTGAGCACATTTAAGGTAGGCTATGCTAAGCTATGATGTTCAGTAGGTTAGGTGTATTAAATGCATTTTTGACCACGATATTTTCACCTTACGATGGGTTTATCAGGATGTGACCCCAATGTAAGTCGAAGAAGATCTGTATAGTTACATAACTATAGACATATAGTTATGTGTTTATATACATATATATAGTTATATAGATGTGTAGTTATGTAACTATACTATTATATATATATAATTTTAAGTTTACTGTCCAAAGTTTCTATTCTGAGGGATAGTCCCATAAATAGGATGCACTATTAACATCACTGTGCTTACTTCGGTAGATCGACTGTGGTGAGTTCCGGGATCCTAAGGTCTTCTGCACTCGGGAATCTGATCCCCACTGTGGCTCCGATGGCCAGACATATGGCAATAAATGTTCCTTCTGTAAGGCAGTGGTGTAAGTATCATACTCACCAAACCTGTCTCTTGCAAACACAAACTTCCAGAATAAGACTATGACATTTTCCTTGAAGTATTCTAGAAAGTTCTACTTATACCCACCCATAGAGACTGAAGAAAAAAGCTTCGGGCAAATGAACTGAAAACAAATAGGTCAAAAACTAAACAAAACAAATTACATAATAAGTTATTTGAAAACGTAATATTAGTTATTTTAGTTTTTTAGTATTAAATTTGACTCATCCTAGGGAAATTTTAAAAATTTCATACATCTTTAAAATTTTTAATACATTTGTTCCATTTATTTCTAATTAAAATTTCAATAATTTGCATCCAATTACTTTTGTTGTTATTATTATTATTGATTTTGGAAAAGATGGAGGAAAGTTTTAGAGATGCAGCGAAGTTTGAAAATTCATTGAAATCAGAAACATGAAAAACTTGTGAGAAAATTTGTCATCAATAAAAATATTCTTTTATCCGAATCATTTTTAGGCATTTTATTTTATGCCAAATTGTATGTTGCTAAGACACCAATTTTCATTTATTCCTCTCTTTAGTCTGATGAAAAAGGCCTTTCAACAAAGAATAAGGGAGAGAATTATCCTTTATTATTCAGAATATTCAAACTTTACAGATAGCATACTAGGAAGATTCAATCAAGGACCAATATTTATTTAATTTACATGTTTATAAGGAACAGTACAAGTGCTGTAGATTTTGGTTAATTGACTGAAATTCTTGATGGGACATAGTTTATAATTAATAATAATTTGTTCAATCAATCAGTCTTTTAGTCTGATTGCTCTAAAAGCAAGGGAATTATAACCCTTGTTTAGCCCAAAGAAAGGTTACCTTACTTCCTCACCACTGTCATCATTTTCTTATATTAGAATTTATTCTACGAATGTCTTAATTTCCCTCAACTTTGCTGTAAAATTCCCAAGCACAGGAATTATATAACTCCCTAACAATAATAACAGGACCAAGCACATAAAATGAAAGTAGTAAATATTGAATCAATACGTAATAAATATATGCCTACATTTATATATAACATATTTGACTAATTAATACCAAATTCTTCTTAGGAGAAGGGCAGTAGGGTAGGATGAGATTTGATTTAATGAACACATCTTACTAGAAGTTCTGGGTATACGGTCCGCTATAAAATTCCAAAGTCTGAATATTTGGTTCAACTTCTTACATCTTCTATCATGATAGAACTATGACACTATAGTCTCTTTACCATTATTTCTCCTGTTAATATTGCCTTTTCTACTTGTATACATATTTACCTCAGGGAACGAACAATTGAAACCGAAAGTCTAAGCCTGATTAAAACTGAAATTTAAGATTTATGTTTCCTGCAATTAGGCCAGATGTCACCCCTGAGTGCATTTAATTAACCTCTGCCAAATCGTAGACATGGATGCCTGTGGAGTCAAATGATTACATGGACTATGACATAGTTAAGCCTTTTTTCAACCTCTGTGATGAATATTTATAACATTGCACTAAGCATATGTTTGTCTTTCTCTTTTATAGGAAAAGTGGTGGGAAGATCAACCTAAAGCACCGGGGAAAATGCTGAATTAGAGCCAGTGTTCCACGCTGACTTGTCAGCTCTCTCTTGCTCTTTTCTCACTTCTGCTTTTACTTTTCTCTAGCGGATCCCTTAAATTTGTGAAGACTCACCTTCTACTCTGTCTGGGTCTTGGGGAGTTCAATATATATATTTCCCTTGATTTACTTGTCAATAAAGTAAATTCTGCAGAAGTATGGCTTGTGTTTTTACTTTGAGATCAAGAAAATATACAGATACAATATGGAATAATTGACCTGGCATCAACTTCGATAAAAAGACCTGTTTTTTGATCTAAATCAACCATGCAGTCGCTGTGGGATCTTGGGAAAATCCCTTCCCATCTCTTACTCCTAGAATTTCCATGTGGATAATGAAGAATTTTTAACAACACGATCATATAATATGCTTACAACTATTTTACAATATCTGTTATTTAAGTCTTAGATCACATAATATCTGTTCTTCCCAATTTTAGGAAATGTATTTTATATAAAAATAAAACATTTGCTCTCTCTGGACCATAGTTTTCTCATCTCTATGGAATGACGGCTTTGGACTACATACTATGTAAAGACATACATTATTTGGTTTCCCACCAACATCAAAGTGTCTAGCAGATAGGAAAAAGAGATTAAATATTTAATAAATAATGAATAGATGCAAAGGTTTTAGAAGTGTGTACATTTAAAGAATGTAATCAATTGATCTTAATCATAGAATGAGAGAACTGGCTGAAACGTGAGGAATCCTAAGTCCCAGAGAAACTTTAATTAGTTACTGCCAAAGGAAAGACCTCCAGTTAGTAAAAGAGTCACGGTTACAACACGGCTCTTTTGACAACCAGCTCAGTCTCCATGTCACTGACTCAATCCTATGAAGACAAGATGGGTATATAAATATCTCATTCTGAGCAATCCAGATGGAAGTACTCCCTTTGAGTACTTCCATGTAGCAGAGCATGTTTTTACAAATAATATCTTCCTGGGTGAACTCACATAGAAGACATCTCTAGGTGATAACCATCAACGAACATTTACTGGGTGCCTACTCTGTGACAGGCTCTGTTCTATGTTCTTGCGATACAGTTACAGGTGGGGGTAAGGAGGGCAAAAAAATCCCTATATTAATGAAGTTTACATTCCAGCAGGGAGAAATAGACAAAAACGATAAACATAATAAACAAGTAAATGACAGTGCAGTTGCGGTACTAAGTCAGAGTTCTTATTGGGAAGATGTGGAGATGAGGGAGTTGGCCAAGTAAATATCTTGGGGAAGAGGAAAAGGAGAAGTTAGAACACAGTGCTTAAGTCTGGAGCACAACTGATTTGGTCAAGGTTCAGCAAGGGAGAAATGGTGACTGAAAAAGAGTAACTGAGTGGGCAAACGATAGGTGACAGGTCAGAGAGAAATGAGTCCTGAATCTTTAAAGACTTTGTAGTCATTGTTAAGATATTTGCTTCTATTCTGATGTATAAAATGTGTTAACTATAAATATTAAGATCATACTCCTGCTTTAAAAATCTCAGTTATATTTTATGCACACAGATGCTGTCCTTTATATATATAATTGAAGAGGACCTAACCAAACTAGGGGATGTAACTGCTGTTTAGATGAAGAGCCAAGGAGTGGATTAGGTTATGCTAGAAAAAATATCTACCTTATACTCCTACAGATGTGGGATTTGTGCTCTTTCATGCTTCAAGACTACTCTCCTTGCTGGAGAGAAATGACCACAGAATATATAATTAGGGAAAGACAATTGTAAGAGGGTGGATCTTTGAGTCACACTGACCAGAACCGGAAGCACGGCTCTGACATAAGCTATGTGTTTTTGAACAAGTCCTTTGACTTCTTTGTATTATGATTTACTCATTTGTAAAATGGGGATAGTAGTATCTACCTCCTAAACGTATTATGCAGATTAAGAATATGATGCATGCAAACACTGATATAGTCTCTGATAAGCAACTAGAGCTCAAAAATCAGTAGCTTTTATTATTATTCTGTCATCAGTTTCAGCATTATAACTGTTTTCACTGAACAGGATATTTTTGTTCTTTTTCTCAGTATTTACGTATTTTTTAAATGTCTATCTTCTGTTCATTTAACATTTTTGAAAATTCTCAAGTGTTTTTTTTCTCTCTCAGTTTTATCTGTATACTAGATTCCCTGCTCATAAGGGAAATTAAGCCCTTTTCTCCTCTTTGGTTTCTACTCCCTGAAGTAATTTAGCTACTTCTAATGTAAACACGTAGAGCACTATGTATAGCTTAATAACTGACTCATTGAGCAGCTTTGAAAGCACTGCTTTGTGATATGGCCCACCCCTCAAGGCTCTCTCCTATTAGAACTATCTCGCCCCGATTCCTGTTAGCTGTCCACACAAAAAGTGCGTTTCCACCACTTTGCCCTATCCTGCCTGGAGTGCCCCTCTTGCCATCTTCTGCCACTCTGCCTACCCTTCTTCCTTCACACAGACCTGTTTTCTACTGTAGACTACCATTTACTTCAAGGCTTATTTCAGGTGCTGTAATTGAGCACATGACCAAAATACCATCTCTTGTCTAGTTCTGAGCTATTCTTTGGCTATGAAAAGGAAACATATAAAAAATAAACCACAGGGGCCGCCCCGTGGCGCAAGCAGTTAAGTGCGCGCGCTCCACTTCAGCCGCCTGCGTTCACATGTTCGGATCCCGAGTGCGCACCCACACACTGCTTGTCAAGCCATGTTGTGGTGGCGTCTCATATAAACTGGAGGAAGATGGGCATGGGTGTTAGCTCAGGGCCAATCTTCCTCAGCAAAAAAAGAGGAGGATTGGCATCAGACGTTAGCTCAGGGTTGATCTTCCTCACAAAAAAAAAAAAAACACAGCAGAAATCTTATATTTCTCAGAAAGAAGAGGCAAGTCACACATAAAAAATCAACAGTCAAAATATGGGAGTTTGGGTCAGAGATGTACACACTTGTCAAACCTTAGTGAATATACACTTAAGATTTATGCATATCATAGTTTGCAAATTTACATTAAAAGAAAAGAATGTAAACATATAATGTAGTCTTAACCATGATACGTGCATTGTAAAGTTTTTAGAGGAAAGGGTACTGATGCCTGCAATTTACTTTGAATTACATCAAAGATGGATTAATGGATACACAGATGGATAGATATATAACAAAACAAGTGTAGTGAAATATTAATGGTACAATTTAGATGGTGGGTTTACAAGGGTTCACTGTAAAACTATTTTTAACATTGCTTTATGTTTAAAAAAATTCATTAAAAGTGTTTTTTAAAATGATTTAAAAAAACACAGAGACTCTGCCAACAGGAGAATATATTCAAAATTCTGTTTGTGTTCCTCATTATTGTGATATCCAGGACAGAACACACTGTTTCAAGTATGATTTGTACTCTTCTCTTCAAAGCAAAAAAAATTAATTTATTTGATCTGGACACCCAAATCTATCATTATACCTTCAATGACAATGGGAATGTTTTCAAACGTGGCTTATACCAGGCTTATAAACACTAACTATCCTCAGGCATTATTCTTTCCAAGCCAACCGTTGCCAAGTCACGTCTTTCTCAGCTGTTCTCCCCTTACTGGTTTTTTGAAGCTAAATTCATTGCAAAAACCATGTGATGTGTCAGTGATTAGGCTTAAGTGAAGTGGGTTTGTCTGGGGATTTGTCCATGCCAATGTAAATGTTTCTTGAAGTGGAATACACAAACATATGCACTACATAGACATACACACACTCTAAAATGAAAAGGTAACAACAGGAAAAAAGGTCAGAGAAAATAGTAACTAAGATAAAGACTGAAATAATTTGCCACTAAGATGATAAACCAATCTATTTACTGAGTATTTCCCACGTTTACTGTGATAAGCACACAAACATTATCACACTTAAATTTAGCAATAGCTATGAAGTTGTAACCCCATTTTATAAAAGAGGAGCCTGAGGTAGAGAGATATAAATGATTTGTCCATGATCGTATAGCCAGTGAGTTGCAGAGTCTGGATTTAATCAAGATGGTCATATCGATCCCATATTCCCAAACTACCTATCACGTAATCATAGTAATTTAAATGACTTGGATGTAAGTGTTGAATTGGAGGGATTAGTCCTATATACTTAGAGACATCAGAAATAGAAGTATTCATAATTCAACAAAGGCTTAAGCAAATATGTAAAGAGATGACATATATCTACCATAATTCCTATACGTGAACAATTATGTTAATTTTGTGATGGAGCTATAGCTTTAGCCTGAGAAGGCCTGGTTCAAAAAGGCTAGTAACTCTGAACTAGGTATTTAGCAAAATGTTCTCTGTCTTTCTCTGACTTTCTTTTTTTCTTCCCCAGAGCTGGTATCTTTAACTTTACAGAATTTTGGTTCATTTCAGTCCTGCAGTTTGACTTAAGGGAAAATAAGCAGAACAGATTTCTTCTCCTTTAGTTAGACCTAACCTAGTAAGAAAAGAGTATCCTTGGGTGACCCAGTTTAGCTCTGTACAGTTAACCTTCAGATTTGATAAGATGTGTATGCCAAAAGAATGTACATAATAAAGCACAATTCCATACGTTTTGGTATATTGTGTTTCAACTTTCATTTGTTTCAAGTTATTTTTTCCCTCTTGATTTCTTCTTTGACCTATTGGTTTTTTTGGGAACGTATTGTTTAATTTCCATGTATTTGTGAGTTTTTCAGTTTTCCTCCTGTTATTGATTTCCAGTTCCATACCATTGTGATCAGAAAAGACACTTGGTATTATTTCAATTTTCTTAAATTTGTTAAGACTTGTTTTGTGGCTTAACATCTGATCTATCCTGGAGAAGGTTCTGTGTGTACTTGAGAAGAACGTGTATTCTGCTGTTGTTGGATGGAATGTTCTGTTCCATCTGGTCCATCTGTTAGGTCCATCTGGTCGAAAACGTAGTTCAAATCTGATGTTTCCTTACTGATTTTCTGTCTGGATGATCCATCCGTTGTTGAGAGTGTGATATTGAAGTCTCCTATTATTATTGTATTTCAGTCTATTTCTCCCTACAGTTATGTTAATATTTGCTTTATATGTTTAGATGCTTCAATGTTAGGTTTTATATATTTACAATTGTTATATTCTCTTGGTGAATTGACACTTTTTCATTATTTAATGATCTTCTTTGTCTCTTGTTAAAACCTTGATGAAAGAAAT